TAAGAATGCTTAAATAAAATCCTGAAGGAGCCAGGGTAAAGTCCCTATTTGCTTGCAAATAACAATCTAAGCTGAAAAGGGGCCATAAAGCATACCGCCTGGGTGGTGGTAGTCGGGTCAAACTGTGAAGGGTACAGGTTGCTAGTGTCCCTTCCTGCCAAGAAAGAAGATGATGTATGGAAACACTATGGTTGAGTCCAATAACTCTCTTGGAGTTCTCAGCCCCCAACCAGGGGAGGGAGTGGGCAGAGGTTGACTAAAGCCCTGAACAGGATGAGATCCGGCCCAGCAGAACTAGGAAGCGCTGCTGTGGACTCAACAGATGCTCGCGAACGTCCAGTCAGCACTCAGATTCTGCTCTGGATCTAAGGAGCTGAGGTGGAGGAGGACAGGGGGAAAATATGCAGAGACAGAACACCAGGGCTGGGCTTGGGAGGGGTGGAGACCGTCTGGAGTAGGAGCATGATGTCTAGACCCCCTGCCATTATCAGAGAGAAAGGAAATGAATGTGGCTTAATTACAATGACAGGATGACAGCAATGACATTATGAGAGAATCAGAAAAGTGCAAAGCCCCTGTTAAGAAAATGAGAACTGTCGCTTCACCGTCAAATTCTCCCTGGAAGAGTTTCGCCCAGACACAGTCATGCCCCTAACTGAGACTGAGACCCCAAGACAGAGGGGCTCTCCCCTCATCCCTGGCAATCCCTCTGAGGGGTCCCTCAGAAGCCCCAGGAGGACTCAGCCCACAGTGAAGGCTCTGTCTCCAGGCCCTACTCACTGGGTGGTGGGCTACAGGGCCACAACCCCCAGCACCCAACCATCCCAGACCTCGGACTCCCGGGAGCGCCACCTGCAGAGACCCTCCCCATCCTCAGAGCTCTGTCGAGGGAGGCACTCGGTATGTGGCTGCTAAATGAGGTCACCTCTCCCAAATGTCGCCCCAAAGGCCAGAGGGGCCTTGTGCTTCTCTCAGCATCAGCACACAGGTGAACCACACACGCAAAAGAGGGGGTCCACCCATCACCCCACAGGGTGAGCCTTGCAGGAGACCACTGAAGACCTATTCAGGAAGGCAAGGGGATCAGGGCAGGGCTGGCTTGCCCCCACCCCAGGTCAAGACCTGCAAGTTAGACATAAAACCAGGAAGGTGGACACACCACTTCACCGACATCCAGAGATAATCACAAGTGTTCACTTTAGCCAAGTCTTCTCCTTTTCTATTGCAATTTTTAAAAATCAGAATGAGAAGCGTGAGCAAACTTGAAAATACTTTGTTTTCCTGCTTCCTGGCAGCCTCTGGGGAATTAGCTAAGTTACAATAAGATATTCAGTGACAGAGAACAAAGAGGAGAAGCAACGGAAGCCTTCTGGATAATCTATATTATGGTTACTACGTGGCAACAGAATAACCAAGAAATACTATTACCGATGCATATAAAACTCAAAGCAAAAAGGAGAAAATCACAATGTTACTAGTACTTCAAAGCTCATTGGCTTTATTTCCCTCTACTGCCCCTGAAGAATGCTAGTCTGATTTGAGGGGGACTGGGGAGGGAGGCACTGACCCTGGAGCACAAATGCAGGGTGTGGTGAGTGCTTCCTGATACCCGAGATCCCAGTTCTGGGGTCATCCAATCCTGGGAACCATGCAGTAAGGACGCACGTGCAGACACGTGCACACAGGCAAAGCAAGATAAAAGAGAGCCCCGTAAATCGACTAAGACCTCAGCAGCTCTCCTGAACAAAGGTTGTCTGGAATGTGAGTTTACAAGGATAATTACCAGCGCATTACACAGAGGGCAATAACTTTGTTGTTAGCACAAGAATTTGTCAGACATGTCACACGGAAAGGGGAACAGCTGTAACTGTAAGTGACAGGTTGCTGAAAAAATGGTTGGTGTCTGAAGCACCTGGTCCCCCGAGTTTCTACCATAAACTTGTTCTTAAATTAAAACAACAGGCAAGTGCACAAAAGCTTCCTACTGTAGAAACCGCTGGTTTGTTCAAGTTTATGGAGAGAATTTTCAAAGTGTGAGTGGTGTGCCAGAGAGGACAGGCTGATGAGGTCTGTGTTCTCAGTCCACGCCATCGCAAGTGGGCACAGTGGGAAGAGCTGGGCTTTTAAATCAGAGTCCCAGACACAAATCCTGTCTTTCCTAGGTACTAGCCATGCATTCTTGGCAAAGGACTTAACTTCTCCAAGCTTCCAATTCCTTGTAAGATGTACTTAATCTCTACGGCATAGAGTTGTTGCAAACAAGAGATTTGCACATAGAATATTTAGCACAGCACCTGGCAAACAGGAAGTGATCGGGAAACAAAGTAACAATTAAGCAGACTTGCCTACCTAAATATCATACTTGGGGCATATTGCAGAGGTGACTGCCTGTGTATTACACTTAAAAAAAAAGAAATGGAAACACTATAAAGCTTTGAAAAGGTGGGGAGAAAAAAGAGGTGATGATATTTGTTTGGGTTTTCCTTAGAGACTATACCCAGGAAATTATTGTCTCTGGAGAAGAATGACTTTGGAAGAACAGTTTATCCTTATATGCCACCAGAGCTGTTTTCTTACCTTTTCTTCCAGGTAAAAAGTTGCAAGGAAGTCTCCTCATATTTGAAAGCCTTCAGGGAGCTCATGAAATGGAGCCTATTTTCTAACTGACCACTCTCAGCAAATTTTCTGTAATGCATATAATGAAGTATTTCGATTGACAGAGCATCTCATCTTCCCTTTAAGAGACAGAAATTGTGCCTGGAGCACGGTGCATCTGGTTGTTTACTTGTGCCCCAAGGTTCACAAAATGCTGCAAGCACTGCCTAGAAAACTAAGAGATGTTAAAGCTGAAATAGTTCTAGAAGAGCAAAGATCTTAAATCCTTTTACAAGACATGAGAAAGCACCTCAAGTTCTAATCAAGCTAAAGCAATTAGCCACCCACAGATACTTAATGTTGCTCCCCATGGTCAGGCAATCATCTCTATTAAAACCCGTTTTAAAAAAAGAGCGGACCCAAAAGTTCCCCGGCACACACTTCCCACAAACCAGTTAAGCCTTAGACGCATTCAACAAGCACACAGAGCCGGGCTCTGGGTATGGCAGAGGGGCTTTTAGGAAAGGAGTACATCAGACATGATGAGATGATGGCAAATAAAAAGGAGGCAAGCTGCAAATGGGACAAAAGGGGTAACAAAAGCCACTTGCCAAGGGGTCCCTGGATCACGGATGGGCTGGACAAAGCCAGACAAACTGAAGCCTCAGTTTCCCTGGTCTTAGAATCCCCCGGTTGGTGTAACAAGATGTCAACTCCACCCTGAAGAAGCACATCAAGCAGAAGGGTTTCTGCCAGCTGGAACTAGGGCCCAGCTTCATCACCTGTGACCAGTCTACCATCCAAACCCATGCTCCACCGGAGGTCTGTCCTCTCTCACACCACAATGTGTCATGGAAGCACCAACAGGGTGCATTTGGTAGGTTCACAATGAGTCTGATCCACTCAAGTTCACGTGCTTTCCCCAGCCCAGTTAGGCCTAGTCTTCCCTAAGACTCCCTTTAGTGAGGGGAGTTCATTGTTGTTTATAACCCAAGGCCGTTTCCAGACTTGGTAATACTGGCAACAGCTACAAAATGGTCAATGGTTAAGCATTTAAAACTTAAGGGCTTCCCTAGTAGCTCAGTTGGTAAAGAATCTGCCTGCAAAGCAGGAGACCCTGGTTCAATTCCTGGATGGAGAAGATCCCCTGGAGAAGGGAATGGCTACCCACTCTAGTATTTGGGCCTGGAGAATCCCATAGACTATGTAGTCCATGGGGTCACGAAGAGTTGGACACAACTGAGTGACTCTCATTTTCACCCCTCTGTCCAAAGGGAATTGGTTCCAGGACCAATTCATTAGAAGATACGAAAACCAACAGATTTTTAAGTCCCTCATATAAAATGGCATAGTATTTGTATATAACCTACACACAGCCTCCCATGTACTTTAAGTGATCCCTAGATACTTACAGTACCAAGTACAATGTAAATGCTATATAAATAATTGCCCGCATGTGGCAAATTTAAGGCTCATGAATTTTCTGTGATTTTCTCTTTTAATATTTTCAATCCATGGTTGTTTGAAGGCAAGGATGCAAAATCCATGGATACAGAGGACTGAGTGTACTTTCCTCAAGAAACAGGGCTGTTTCTGTTTTTCAGTCCAGTGAAGTTAATCCAAAACCCCATTACTTCTCAACTGAACAAGAGCTGTTTTCTTCCTGTAGGTTTTTTTCTTTTGGATTTAGAAAAATCTCTCAATCACCACGTAGACATCAAAAATGTTGATCTAGATCAGCACTATTCTGTATAAATAAGATTTAAAATTTTCCTAGGATTCGCATTAAAAAGTAAAAATATATATGAAACTATTGTACTAGAATATTTTACTTAATCCACTCTGGCAAAACCATTATTATTTCTAGATATAATCAATACCAAAGGTTATTAATAAGATACTTCAGATTTTGTTTTCATGCATTCTTTCTCTAGTACCACACTGAACTGTGCAATCTAGAGTTATTTTTAAATTGCCATGGAAAAACTTCCACAATTCACTGTTCTGTGAACAAGAAGTATACCAAAATGTATAGTATGATCTCATTTTAACTATTAAAATGTGTTATCCGTGTGTTCAGATATGGATAGACAAAAATCTCTAAGGGAAACACCAAAAGTTAACAGCAATTTTAAGAAATAGAATTATGTATAGTTAGTCATTAGTTTCTACTTTGTGCTCTTTTGTTATTTTCTGAATTTCTGTGCAGTAAATATATACTGTTTAAATTAATAGGAAAGCTATAAAGCTAGTCTTTAAAAAAAACAACAACAAAAACCCTCCCTTATTTTAAGCCGTAACACCCCGATCCCACTGGCACTGTAGCTACTGCCCTATTTCCAGCTAACTGAAAGGACGGACAAACTTAATGTCCCCACCCCTTGCCCAGTCACTGCGATACTTACAGCCAATCATCATGATGGCCACGGCAAAGATTTTCTCGATGTCTGTGGACGGGGCGATGTTCCCAAAGCCCACGCTGGTGAGGCTGGTCATGGTGAAATACAACGAGGAGATGTAGACGGAATTCTTGCTGGGACCCCCTTCCCACTTCCCTGAGCCGGACCCGTTAAACTGGTAAGGGGTACCAGTGTCCATGGCCAGCTGGTAGAGCCAGCTGTTGTTGCGGATGGTCTTGGTGTCCTCGTCGAAGATCTCATAGTCCCCGATGCTATACCAAATGCAGGCCATCCAGTGGGCGGCCAGCCCGAACACACACACCAGCAGGACCAGCACGGCGGCTCCATACTCAATGTAGTGGTCCAGCTTCCGGGCCACTCGTCCCAGACGGAGCAGCCTGACAACTTTCAGAGAGCTGAACAGGCTGCTGATGCCCTGGGGGAAGAGGGGCACAGGGTCAGGGCCGAAAATAGAGAGAGCACCAACTCTGTCCCACCACCTCCCAAGAGGCTTCCTTCAGCAAGGTACCCCATGGAATGCAGTAGTATGCAACCCTTACAACATCGCTTCAAAATAAGTCATGATATAGAGAAATGCCCATATATACTTGTATGCTTAGATACAATGTAATAAGAATTTTATTCCAACATATACAGAAGGAGGATTTCCATTAGCTTTTTCCTACATCCTTTAAAAAGCAAATAAAAGGCTAAAATAAAAAGAATATAAAACAAAATAAAATTTGAATTTCATTCTAATTATATTGTATGTATGTATACAAATATGAGCATTTTCCATACTATTCATTTTAAAGCAATATTAAGGGTTGTGTAATATTTCATATTAAGTAATATGAAATATTTTTAGAGTTGCATATTTATTTCATATTGAAAAATGGTCAGGAAACACACATGGAAAGACAGAAAACATTAATAGGGATAATTGCTACACTGTCAAGTTATAGAATTACAGGCAATTTTTTTTACATTTTGTATATATTTTTGTTACACTTGCATATATTGCCTTAACTTCTATAATTAAAAATTGTTACCTTTACAATTACAAAAATATATTTAAAGAACATATAATTTTTTAAGATAAAAATAAAGGAACAATTGAAAAGAATAAAGATCTGAGATTTCTGTTTTCCCAGGAAAGTTACAAACTGTTGGAAGGTTACAACACTTCGGTCAGGTCAAGGATACGGCCAGACAAAATATACTTAAAACCTCAGTCAATCAAGGAATCTCAAAACCAGAAGGAGGCTTCTGATTTCACCTGCTTAAAGCCTCCTCCTTCAAATCCCACCGGGACAGGGCTATTCTCCAAACAGTTCTCTAGGGAACAGCACTGTGGTAGGAACACCAGTGTAGAAATCTTTAAAATGGGGTCTACCACCCAGGTAGGTCACTAACTTGCTGCGTAAATTTGGACCATGCAGTTACTTCTCAGTTCCCCCGTCTAGACAACGCGGGAGGTGGACGGGAGGAGCTCTACACCTTCTCCACAGGCTAACATACTCTTTCGTATCTCCTAAGGGAGCTGAAACACATTACAGAAGCTATACCATTCAAATCTCAAAACGCCCTTTCCAAAGTGATTCCAAGGTGCAGGGAAAGGAGATTTCCATTAAAATTTTCCAAATTCTATTAAAAAGCAAATAAACAGCATGAAGACATTTCTTTGAATGAAGACTTTGGTCTCCCTTACACAGCAAAAATCTAACAGCAGAACGATGCCCTTCACCGAACAGAGTGAATGACTTGTCACTACTCTAAGCACTGGGCAGTTTCCAGGTCACTGCTTCCTCTTTGGTCCTCCAAACCCTTAATAACAACACTGAAGGATCAGGTTATGTCACAGACAGAAGGAAAACACATAAAAGTTTCCTCCTCCTGGACACACAGCTAACCACATTTCCCAGCCTCTTTCCATCTGGGTAGGTCTCTGGAACCAGGTCCAGCCAATGGAATTCGAGGTATAAGAAGTGTCACTTCCCACAAACAGACGGAGAAACATACTGTGTTCATGGATTGGAAGAATCAATATTGTCAAAATGGCTATACTTCCCAAAGCAATCTATAGATTCAATGCAATCCCTATTAAACTACCAACGGTATTTTTCACAGAACTAGAACAAATAATTTCACAATTTGTATGGAAATACAAAAAACCTCGAATAGCCAAAGTAATCTTGAGAAAGAAGAATGGAACTGGAGGAATCAACCTGCCTGACTTCAGACTATACTACAAAGCCACAGTCATCAAGACAGTATGGTACTGGCACAAAGACAGAAATATAGATCAATGGAACAGAATAGAAAGCCCAGAGATAAATCCACGAACCTATGGTCACCTTATCTTCGACAAAGGAGGCAAGGATATACAATGGAAAAAAGACAACCTCTTTAACAAGTGGTGCTGGGAGAACTGGTCAACCACCTGTAAAAGAATGAAACTAGAACACTTTCTAACACCATACACAAAAATAAACTCAAAATGGTGATTCTTAACTTTTTAGAATTAGGGCAATCTTATCCTACCTTCTTTTACCAAGATGAGAAGCATAGATTGGTTGCTTCTCACAACTCGTGGTTTTTAACATTCTCCAAGAGAACTTTTGATGAAGCAGATCAGATTCAAGAACAAGTCCATTTTTACAGAGGCAGGTCTTCAGAAAAACTCAGAAATTTTAATTATGGGTCAAAACTTCATACATAGATTTCAATCATCTTTTTACTGTTCTTTTTATCTTCTCTAGTGATCATATCTTTCTTAAACATGGTGCTTCAATCAAAGAAGACTACTACAGCCCTCTGTCAGATTCAATTCAGTAACCTTTTGTTAGATGCCTATTGGGTTCTAGGTGTTGTACTAGGTACTGATGGTATAAATTTGTCTAAGATAGAGTCTTTCTCTTGAAGAGCTCATAGAGTTCAATCTGTTGATTTCAATAATCCAAGGCTTTATCCTTGCCTATAAAACATACAAAAGTAATCTTCTCCAAAAATCTAATTGAATCTCTTTTATTCATTGCCATTTTTGTCTGTTTTTACTGAGAACTTTAAAATACCAGACATTGTGATCATTTTATCTTGTGTGAGACACCTTTCTTGTCCTCCAGATTGGAGGAGGCAATCCTCATACATGTGCTCAGAACATCCTGCTTTAGTAGAGCAGAACACTTACTGCACATCTTCATAAATTACCCATTTCCCTGGTTTCCTCACTAGATATTGAGCTTTCTGAAGGCAGGATACGTTTCTCAGCCACCACTGGATCTTTAGAACCTAGAATATTTCCAGGTACACAGTAACTCTCTACCAATGTTTATCAAATTATTGCATAAATAAAGGAAAAGAAAAGCTTCCATTTACTCACCATCAAACTGCTCACTGCTACGCTGCTATTAAAAAGAGGACAAGTAGGATGTTTGACTGTCTTTGCATCCATTCAGCTCCCAGGGGTTCCATGTTGATTTGTTAATGACATCAACATTTCACATAACTTATTTTTTAGCTTGGGTGGGTTTCCTGGATGTGGATATATGACTACAGCCCTGCAGCTGAGAGGAAATGGTTGCAGTGTAAGGCCAACAAGTCCCCCATCTTCACCCCAGCTCATAGAAGTAGTTCCCTGTTGTAATTGAGACAGAGAATATTTAGAGTCACACCTACTGGCTCTACTATATTTTAGACGCATAACCTTGGGCAAATGCCAATCATTTAAGCTGCAGCTTCTGCATCTGCAAAATGAGATAGCAATGGTTACCTCACAGTGCTGTTGTAATGAGGAGTTAGTATTTATTAAGAGATGACAACACAATCTTGTGCATAATAAATGTCTATTGATATTAGCCAGGCATAATAAAAAAATGTTTGCATTTCTCTGAAAAAGTATTCACTTTGCAGTCACTAAATACCAAAGGGAATGCTCTCTGGAATTTGTCCTTTATTTACATATATATATATATGCAAATCTCTGTAGCCCAGATATAGATTCTTGAAAGGAAATATAGCTTCAGAATTCTTTACACTGCTAAAGGTGGCAAAGAAGGAAGAGTGTTTTCCTTAGGGATCATAATAACTTCAGCCAATATCTGGTCACTCCATCTGAATCAACCATATGATTTCATTGAGAAGAGAGGTGGTTAAAACTTCCTAATTGGTGTTATTGTTGACACGCTTGTTCCTGCTGCTGCCCGCTCTAGGTCAGATCATCTAATTTCTGACAAGTGTCATTCTCTGACCTGTATTTCCTTCTATTTTTTCAAGGTGTGTCCACATATTCATTTCAGATTGAGCCAAGCAGCACAGCAAGAACTAAATATGGAGTATTCGATCTCCTGGATTCTATTTATCTTCAGCATAAATTCTCTAAAACATTTTATTTTTTGTTATCCAGTAAAAGTTCGAAACTACCCTAGATTCTCTGATTTCCTTTAGGACTGATTTCCTGAATATTCATTGGAAAGACTGATGCTGAAGCTGAAGCTCCAATACTTTGGCCAACTGATGAGAAGAACTGACTCACTGGAAAAGACCCTGATGCCGGGAAAGATTGAAAGCAGGAGGAGAAGGGGACGGCAGAGGATGAGACGGTTGGATGGCATCACTGACTCGATGGACCTGAGTTTGAGCAAGCCCCAGGAGTTGGTGATGGACAGGGAAGCCTGATGTGCTGCAGTCCATGGGGTCCCAAAGAGTCAGACATGACTGAGCAGCTGAACTGAACTGAGATTCTCTGAATTCATTCTGTTTAATGTACAATTATCTGACAGTACTCAGAAACATTACATGCATTTAGACTCAAAGTCAGGTTAAAATCAGAGAAGAAAAGTTAAAATTTCCCGAACTATGCAGTGCAAAATTGAGAATAAACTGCTTATGTGTCCCCAACAAAGAAAGATTTTTTTCACTTAAGGTAAAAACTTAAACTTCAATGTTTTCAGTTACTGCATTCCAGGGAAAATAATTGTTGGTTATTTTGTCACATTTCCTGTGGAGTTCAAATGTACTTTTACTAAATTACACTGAAGTATTATCCTTCTCCGACCTCTGCTATGATTAATAGGACCAGGGGCCCAGTTGTTTGCTGCCTGTCTTTAGCTTCAGAAAATATACTGCTGCCCCAAGTCCCCTTTATACTTTTTTTTTCAATGGACCATGAGACCTATAAAATGTAGAAATGCAGTGACTCATATGAGAAGCCTATAAAAGCATGTAAAAGATTTGCAGCTAGGGCAAAGTATTGTGTGTGTGTGTGTGTGTGTGTGTGTGCGCGCGCATGTGTGAGTGTTCAGTTGCTCAACCATGTCCAACTCTTTGCAACCTCATGGACTGTAACCCACCAGGCTCCTCTGGCCATAGGATTTCCCAGGCAAAAATACTGGAATGGGTTGTCATTTCCTCCTCCAGGTGGTTTTCCTGACCCAGAGATAGAACCTGGGTCTCCTGCATCTCCTACATTGGCAGGCGGATTCTTTTACTACACTCAGCAAATCTGAAGTCTTGGTGATCTGTCTTGTCTCCTAAAAACTGGAAATTATTTTAGCTACTCTGTTCTCCTAAATCTATGAAGAGACAGGTTGTCATGAAGTTCAGGATTGATATTTTTCAAATGGATTTTTAATAGTCAGAATTGAAATAGTGGTCAGAATTATTTCTAGGACATTAATGCCATGTGGATAATCTGTCAAATATAGTACTAGGATCTGGACAGTTTACTGGGAGAACTACAAAAGCTTTCCTTTTTGAATAGTGGTAGAACTATTGCAAACAATATAATTAGTTTCTAAAATAGTGCTGTTTTAGTTTTCTTTGTTGCTATAACAAATTGCCACAAACTTATTGACTTGCAACAGCATACATTTATTCTCCATTCTGTAGACTGGAAATCTGACACTCATCTCTCTGGGCTAAAATCAAGGTGTCAACAAGGTGATTACTTTTTAGAGGCTCTGGAGGAAAATTCATTCCCTCACCTTTTCCAGCTTCTACCTCCATTTCTTGGCTCACAGCCTCCTTTCACCAAGTTAAAATCCAGAAATATTGGATCTCTCTGACCATCCCTCACTAATCACGTCTCCCTGTGACCACAAGCCTGGAAATGTTCTTTGCTTTTACCAACCCGGGAGATTAGATTTGACCCACCTGGAGCCCTGGATAGTCTCAATGTCTATCTCAATTTGCACCTCCATGGAACAGTCTCAATCTCCTTAACTTATTCATATCTGCCAAGTCTTTTCTGCTGTGTAAAGTAGCACTTTCAAAGGATCCAAGGATTAAGATTGTTGAGAAGCCATTATTCTGCCTCTCACAGGTACTATTTTCAATGCTAAGAAAAACTAGCACACAAGGTATCCTCATTGTATCTCTAATAGTAAATAACCAACTATTTCTATAGACTTTCCCCAAACAGGCAACTCCATAGCTTTCCTTGCACTGAAATATAAAGGAGCAAAACTACATGTTAAAATTACTTCTATTCAATTAAAGAATTTGAGATTAAAATAATTGATTGGTGTATGTGTGTATGTGTGTGTGTTGTCATCCGCGTTTTCCGAGAGGCTCTTTTAACCCCTTCTGGTGCAAAATATCTTTTCTTGTGAGTGTATTTTTCATTAAATGAATTTGATTTAAATTATTATAGACTGAATGGTGGTATGTGATCAGCTTTCTCCTGACTTCAAATTTCCCACCATGACTATCATCCATTTGCCTTTAGTACAGAAAACTGCAGTGGTGTAGATTTAAATGCAATCTGACAACTCCAAGAAATGACCTGGTGCTTAGTGTGAGAAAACCAGTTTCCACATTCAGGAATGATGGCTGATGGAATGCTTCCTATGTAACCGTAGGCGTAGTTACTTTCCAACAGGTACACAGGATTTGATTCTCCTTTCTCAGCACTCCCTCCATTTCTGTCATCCTCAAACAGAGGGAGTGCCATGAAAATCCAAAGAAAGAAAACTCGCTACTTCCTAAAATCAACTAGACTGACCTCCAAGAAATGTCAAATCATACACCTCACCTTGTCTGCCGTAAGTCTAACCTTTACACAGATCTTGATTTTAAGCAATCTTCATGTCAGATTTATAAGTAGGGCATTATTATAGAGATGAAGAACATGGAGTTACTTAGAGTGGTTAAGTAAGGTATCTAAGATCTTACAGCATTTGCTGGCTTTAAAAAAAAAAAAAAAATACCAGGCATGTTAAAATGCAAGAGAAGAAAAAAACAGTCTGAAGAGACAAAGCAAATGTGACACAGATTTTGAAATTATGAGATAGTAAATTTAGAATATATATGATGAATATGAAATGGTTCCATTATAGAAAGTAGATGGCATGCAAGAACAAGTGAGTAATGTAAGCAGAGAAAAATACACTCTATTAAAGAATCAAAGAAAATGCTAGAAAGCAAAAATGCAGTAACAGAAATGAAGAATATCTTTGATGGGCTCATCAGTATCCTTGCCAGTGGCCACAAAGGGGTATATCAGTGAGTTGAAGATAGGTCAGTAGAAATCTCCCAAGCAGAAATGCAAAGAAAAATATTTTTTAAAAGCAAAGCAAAATAAGAACATATAAACAGAAGAGAACACCCAAGAACTGTAGTACAGCTTCTAAAGGTATGACATGCACATCATTGGAATAGTAGAAGGAGGAGAAAGGAGAAAAGTAGGAGAAAAAGTATTTGAAATAATAATGGCCCAGAACTTTTCAAAATGAATAAACATACCTCAAATCAAAAATCTAGTAAGCTCAGATAGTACCAAGCAGAATAAATATAACAGAGAGTAAGTAGAGAATGAAATATTTCAAATGTTCAAAGGAACAATCCACCAAGTTGGAATTTATACCTAACAAAATTATCCTTCAAAAGTAAAGAAGAAATGAAGACTTTCTCAGACAAACAAAACAGGAAATTCATTACCAGCAGACCTGCCTAACAAGAAATGTTAAAAGACATTCTTCGGGCAGAAGGAAAATGATATAGATCAGAGACCTGAATCAATCTAAGCAAAGGAAGAGCATCAGCAAAGTAATAAATGAAGGTAAATTATGATCTTAATTTTTAAATGTTAAATGGATCAAAAAGATATGTTTGTTTAAATCAATAATAGTAATAATGTATTGGGTGATTAAAGCGCATGGAGAAGTGACATGAATGATAACAATGTCACAATGGACAGGAGAGAGAAATTAAGAGTGATATACTCGTGTTGGAATCATTAAAATCCAAAATGCCAACAATATCAATTGCTGGTGAAGACATGGAACAACAAGAATTTCATTCATTGTTCCTGGAAATGCAAAAAGGTAAAGCCGTTTTGAAAGACAGTTTGGCAGCTTCTTACAAAGCTAAATATAGTCTTACCACACAATCCGGCAATTCCTGCCTCAGATATTTACTCAACTGACTTGAAAATTTAAGTATGCGCAAAAACCTGGGGGTGAATGTTTATAGTAGCTTTATTCATGAATTTTAAATTCATATTGATTCATGAAATAAGGCAGTCTGAAAAGATTACATGTACTATGATTGCATTCACACGACAACTTGGCAAGGTAAAACTATGAGATGGTAAACATCTCAGTGGTTGCCAGTGTTTAGGAGTGAGAAGTTTAATGGCTCAGAAGCTTTTTTAGGACAGTGAAACTCGTCTATGTGGTACTATAGTGAAGGATACAAGACACTATGATTTTGTCAAACCCATGGAGTAAACCTTAAATGATGCAAAGAAAAAAAAATTTAGGGGGTTCGAGGATCCCAGGATGGACTGTATAATGTGACTAAATATTAATAAATCTAACTCTGTTACAAATGTATGGAAAAGTCTTACTGAAGAAGGTGATGAGAAAAGGTGCTGACCTATGTGACTTTAGAAATGAGTGGAGCACATACAACAAAAGGCAAAAGAAACTGTACATAAGCACTGTATTTCAGCTGATAATGTGGTATCCCGTGGGTGTATGGATTTATAATTCTGAAACTACTATCCATATAAACTCAAAATACACAATACAGATACCAGATGACGAGAGGCAGTTTTCTCACCGTTAAAGAGAGCAAGGTTGCAGTAAGGAACAGGAAAATAGACTGATTCATGTGACAATGGATAAGAGTGGGAGGCATCAGTATAAATTCATGCTTAACTTAATAAAGATATGGATGGTTGCACATAGAATCACTTATAGATATGTATGTAAATATATGGGTTAGTGCACACACAGTAATTCCTTTCTCTCAGCTGAGAAGACCCATAAACAATGATACTCTTGTCACAATGGGAGCACATTTAGCACCAAGAATTTGGTTTCTAATACCATCGCCAATAGAAGGAACCAGGCCTCCTTGAACAAACTGCTGATTCTACAACTGGGATACAGCAAAAACAAAGTGATCCTCAAACATCTTTTTGTGCTAAAAAGTAAGGAAGTACTAGGCAAACAAAACAAACAAAAACCAAAATGACCCAGAATGAACCAACTGAAAGAACTCCCCATGGCCAAAGCTGGAAACAATTGGGGAAAAAAAAAAAAAAAAAGTAGTTCTGAATTATATAACCCAAAGTATAAAAATAAATATCCATAAATCCATACTTATATAAATTATTGAATAAACAAATAAATATATAAGGAAGAACAAATAAATCTCCCATGCAGAATAATTCCAAACAATTTACTTGTGCAGTTACTCAGCCCACAAGGAGATAAAGCCCTGGAGCATAACTACTCACTCCTTAAGTATGGGGTAGACAAAGGAACTTCCTTTGAAAAAGCACAGTATGGAAAAAGAACAAAAGGGTGACTCTACGGTGGAAAAATTTAACAGATAACACCTGAGTTAGGTGATCAAAGTCATATCACATCAGTAATATTCTCAAGCAGATATTAATATTAACATGTATTAATATTAACACATTAACTGTTGATATGATGAGAATGGTTCTTAACCTCTGTGGTCTTTCTCCCCAGACTTCACTATCCCAATCTAAAAATGAGACAATATCAGACAAATCTCAAAAAAGGGATATTCTACAAAATATTTGACAAGTACTTCTTAAGACTTTCAAGGTTATCAAAGTCAAAAAAAAGATTAGACAATTATTAATATGACTGCCAAAAGGAGGTGTGTAGTCATGATGACTAAGTAAAACATGGTATCTTGGGGGGGGGGCTCCTGGAACAAACAAGGACATTAGCTAAACACTGAGGAAAATTGAATAAAATATGAACTTTAGTTAATAATAATAATGTATTAATATTGGTTCATTAATTGTGAAAAACATTCATATCAATATAAGATGTTAATAAATGGGCAAATTGGGTACTCTTGGACCTATTTTCATAAGTCTCTGTAAATCTAAGACTTCTGAAATGAAGCTATGTTTTTTAAAAAAAATTAATAAAACCTACAATGAAACACCACTACATACCTACTAGAATGGCTAAAATTAATTAAAAAATTCTGACAATACCAAAGTGCTAGTGAAGACACAAATCAACAGGAAGACTCATCTAACGACCAGTGGAAATGCAAAGTGTTACAACCACTCTGGAAATTGGTTTGGCAGTTTCATATAAAGGAAAGCTTGCACTTACCATATGACCTAGCAATCTCGCTTTTATTTTAGAGAAATAAAAGCTTATATTCCTATAAAAACCTGTGCACTAAAATTTATAGCAACTCTATAATAGCCCCCAAATTGGAAACTAAATATCCTTCAAGAGATAAATAAATAAAGTGTGGTATAGCCATACAATGGAATGAGACTCAGCAATAAAAAAATAATGAGCTATTGATACCCTCAATAATTAAAACAAATTTCAAAAGCCTCATAGAACTGAGAGCAGTCTGCAGAGGTGGTGTGTTCTGTATTTCACTTTAGATGATATTCTTGCAAAGACAAAACAATAGTGATGAGGAACAAAGTTGTGGTTACTGGGAAGTTAAGGGTTAGTGAACAATAGAAGGATGTTAAGTGAGAATTTTCAGGTAAGGCAACTGTTGTGTTCTGATTGTGATAGTATTTACTCAAATCCATAGCTTTATATATTAAAATGCATAAAATACAGGCATTAAAATTCATCAAAATAGCCTATTACTGTGTATTAATTTTTTAAAAAATACAAAAAATGAAAGCAGCAGAGTTTAGAGCCAATCCAGGACTACTAAAACAATAACAACACACCAGACTCTATACCATATTTCTTATACACTTTTGGCTCATTCAAACCTTGCTAAAAATTTATTTCCCTTAATCCTCCTGTTTATAATATTTCTAGGTCAAGGTTGAAAAGTATTAGAACTTTTATTCCTGATCTAAGATATTTTGTAAATATTTCATTCATAATCAAGTTATAAAAATTTTCTTTAGGTTTCAACATATTTACCAGTGTTCTTTTCCCTTTTGTCATTCCCGTGTTCCCAAATTGCTTTCAAATCTAATTAGGAAAATGAAAATTTCTCTTTACACTTTTTAAACTAACATAGTCTATAGGGACTAGTAAAAACATTAAACATTAAAAAAATAAAAATAATAGAGAAGAGAGGCAAGGTTATTACATTTTAAAAAGTTAAACAGCATGCTTTAAGCTCCTTGAAATGGGAACCTCTCTACTGATTTATGGTTTCAACTTATCTTTATAACTGTGAAAGGGCAGGAAGAGTCAAAGAAAACACTAGCTGATTAAAGAGATAACATAGCCTGGTGGAGAGATCAGGGTTTCTCAGCCTCAGCACTGTTGTTATTTGGGGAGGAAAATTGTTCATTGTGAGGGCTGTCCTGTACATTGTGAGATGTTAAGCAGCATCCCTGGTCTCTACCCAATGGATCCCAGCAGCATCTCCCCCACACCTGTGACAACCAAGGTCCACACAAGGCCCTGTGAGTGCTTGGGGCAAAATCACCCCAGGCTGAGAACCAGCTGGATGGAGCAAGGG